AAGACCCGAACTTATCCACGGCATGCATTTTAAATTTCTCTTTGATATTTGGGCTCATTGGGACCCGATGAATGTAAAAATAAAGAATTACCAGATTTTTTTTTTTTACCTAATTTTTGTTTCTAAGAAAAATGAGAGCCACATATGAGGATATCTGTTTACATTTTCCATAAAACAGTAGCAGTATAATGTCCTTGTAAGTGGATATCAGGCCCTTGTAGAGCAAAATTCAGTATTTTGGTCTAAATAACCCAAAATGTGATGTCCACGTATGTGGACGCCAGGTCCTAAGAGGTTAATGAAAAACAAGCCTTTATTTTGGGGCTAACACTCACAGACAAGAAGCAAGGCAAAATGAGGGAACATCTTTCTTTCTTTATTTTGTCTTTGCCTGTCCCTTTCGGTACTTTAGCAATCACGCTTGTTGTCTGAAGGACAGGAAAGAGCCCAACGAATTTATTTTTTCAAGTGGAGAAAATATGCCAATGCCATGTTGTTCCACTTGATTAGTCTGTATTATCATTCTTTATTTATGTTATTTTTTTAAGTTATTACAAATTGGACAGACATATGGAAAGGGAGAAAGGAAGCAAAGGGGTAGGGGAGACGGTAAAAGAAGACACTGCGAAAATCCGTTTGATCACCCGTCAAAAGAAGAAAAGAGAAAACAAACAGCACAACATGATAGAGACAACAACCTAGATACATGTAAGTAACAGTAAATACTAAATATTGAATGTTACTAAGTGGCACGGAGGACCGACAGTGCACAATATGCTTTAAGTTAGCAGCCAAGGAAGATAGGTTTGTGTATGTGAGCGCCTGTGTGTACACCTGTATGCGTGAGCGCGTTTAAGTTTAAAAGGTTTCTCCATCTGGGGTGTGAGGGAAAATCTAAACTTAAACTAGGAAACTATAAATAAGACTTTCACTATGACTTGACAAAATTAAACTGGATGTGGGGTAGGTAACACAGACGATGCAACAATGAACAAAGGGAGACGGAGGACTTTGTTACGACTGTTGTCGTAATGTTGTCTCATATGTAAATCTGAGTGTACAGGTTAGTGATGGGTCGGTCGTGAACGAAATGGCTCTTACGGTGTGTTCACACCGAACACGATGGAGGCGAATAGAGCGTCAGGTTTACATGTAAAGTCAATGGAAAAGCGCGATGACCTGCGATTGCGGGTCCCGCGAAAATTCGGAAGCAGATTTGCGTCGCGAAAACGCCAAAACGCGTGAAACGCGCGTCAGTGTAGCGCGTCTGGCGCGTTTGACTCGCGAATAAAACCACGCGCGTGAGTTTTTGTGTTGCATTTTGTGCATACGCGCGTTTCGCGTCTACCGCTCGAGTTGGAAAAATCTGAACTCCAGCGTCAAATCGCGCCGCGACAACCAATCAGGAGCCTGGTGACGTGGCTGTTACCTAGGTCAAAGGGGCAGATCCAGCCAAAGCCTTTCATACTTCAATGGAGGGGAAGGCTAATCAATGCGGTAGCAAACAACTCGGAGCTGTACAACACCAGCTGCTTTCAGTACCGAGACAGGAATAAAAAGGACCGAGCTTGGAGGAAGATATGTGAAGAGATCGGGCAACCTGGTAAGTTCATTCCGGGGAAGCCGCACAAAAGCTAGCAAGCCACCGCTATTTTCCCACTGACGTACAAATACCGTTCTGCTTTTATGCATGTTGTCATTTAGGAATATATTTTATTGTTTATTAATAAACAGCACACAGTGGTCCCGCTGTTCATCCGTCACTGCTTTGCTTTTTCGCTGATTTTTTATTGGACAGTACAGCATTGCATTCTGCAGCCTGATTGACAAATCTCCTCCGTGTCGTGTCTCCTGCGCTTGCCAAATTTATCACGTTTGGTTTTGATAACCATCGCGTCCAATAGAAAAAACAGCACAAAAACACCCATAATTATGAGCCTCATTCGGAAATAGACACCTGCACCGTGAGGGAAAAAGGCGCACGAAAGTGGCGGGCAGATGAAGACAAACCGCGGCATAATAATACTTTTACGTTTTGCAATCTACAAAGGTTTGCACTTTGAGAATCAATTGTGAGAACTGTGACCAGGGGCTAGTTATTCTGAGAACCCCTGCAATAAATGAGGGACCACTGTATACTCTACGATTATTATATCCAACCTGTTAACATTTAATACTGTATTGATAGAACCAACTGATTCTGCAGCAGAGCATCCCCTGTCCCTGAGCTCCTGCTGCTGCACCCACAGATATGTACAGCAAGCACTGATACCTTTTTAGTTGGTGGGATTCCCTTGTGATCACCTTTACTAAATATCTACAACCAATCTGATTATATCCTGTTATTATTTTTTTATTTTTTTCAATGTTGAAATTAAAATCTAGTAGCAGCCTTCTCATTTCTTTGTGTTTTGTGCTGTTTTACAGGCCCACAGAGGAGGACGGCTCCGAGGCAGATGAGGGACGGGTCCCAGGACGGTCCATCGGCGGTGGAGCTGGCCATCCTGGAGTCCCTGAAGAGGCCACACCAGTCTCCAATGGAGCATTTCCTCCTCAGCCTTGTTCCTGCTCTGGAGAGCAGCTGGTCCTTTTTATTCCTGTCTCTCTGTAAATTCTTATATTTTATATATTTATGTTTAATGTTTTTCTGTTTGAGACTTTTAATATTATTTCAAATAAATGTTTATAATGACTAATGTCTCAGTTCTACTACACAGCAAATGTTGGCACACGACTTGACACATGTAGAATTTATTTCATATTATACTAATGACAAAATATACTGATACAGTGGGATGCAGAAGTTTGGGCAACCTTGTTAATAGCCATTATTTTCCTGTATAAATTGTTGGTTGTTACAATAAAAAATGTCAGTTAAATATCATACAGGAGACACACACAGTGATATTTGAGAAGTGAAAAGAAGTTTACTGGATTTACAGAAAGTGTGCAATAATTGTTTAAACAAAATCAAGCAGGTGCATCAATTTGGGCACCACAAAAAAGAAATGAAATGAATATTTAGTGTATATCAATGTGTGTGTCTCCTATATGATATATGGGGTGCCTTTGTCTGGATGTGCTTCCCATCCAGAGCTGCACAGCACAGAGGAAAGTTCCAGCGCTCCTGGAATCCCTCTGTGATGGAGCGCCAGTCTCCAGGTGAAGGCACAGCCATGAAATCGTCCACTAGACAGTCCCAGATGGACGTCGCTGCCTGGGGGGTGATCTGGCTCACCGTGGACACACCGACTCTGAAACTGAACGCGATGGTCCTGAAGGAGTCCCCGGTGACAAGGAACCTGGACAAAATTGTTCAAAATCAGTATTATGTGTACTGCAGTTACAAAATACATTATTCAAATTCCAAAATACTTTTGTGATGTCAGATATAAATCACAAAACTTAAATCTTACATAAAACATTTTGTAATTATAAGGATAATTACAAAATGTATATTAGATAATATCTAAAACAGTTGTGTTTTGTTTTAACTTTAACATATCATAATTTGATTGGTAGCAACTTTCACAACTACAGTGAGCCAATCACTCATAATTCCTAAACATGTCAATCAGGTAGGAATGAAGTAAGACATTAATAGAAATAAAGAGTTGTATGTTGACATGTAGCCCTTTCCTTGCTTAAATCATTGTTAATATTTTTGAAAAATTAATCTGTGATAAGACAGCTTATCAAGATAGAACCATGTAACTAGAGATGAACCAAACTGTTCACAGTTTTATCTAACTCTGTTTTAATAAAGGCTGTGACCCCTGCTATAGAGTCTGACAGCTGCAGGGATTATATACAAATATTCAACTATCCCAGAATTAAACCAGGTCTAAATAAAAAGGAGTGAGTATCACTACAAAGGTTAACTCAGTGGTCCTAATGCTACAGTTTGATATCAGCAAAGACCGAGCGCATACATTGATAGGACACCACAGCCATGCTATCATTCAAACACTGATAACAGCATAAATCGAATTAAATCGGGACTTGATGAGAGCTTCTGAGTATCACTAGAAATATTATAAAGAGTCGTCTCTGTACCACAGTTTGCTTTCAGTAAACACCGACAGCATTCACTGTTAGCATAGCACATCCATGTTAGCAGTGTATAACTGGATGGATTAGCATATTAGCACAGATATCAATAAAGGACTACCGTATTAAATAGTTTTACTAACCTCAGGCAGACGGACAGGCGCTCTGCAGGTGGGATTGAGCGTCTGTAGTTGGTGTCTAGGCGGGCGATGCTGGGACCGACGAGGGAAAGCAGGTCCTCAAACTGGCCGACAGTGATAGCGCTGGAATCGGCCTCATCCAGGCGCAGCTCCTGGAGCAAGTGGTGAAACTCACCAAACTGCTCATGCCTCTGGAGGACCTGATGGACCCAGGTACGGCGAGGACGTCTTTTACGCTGCTGCTCTGCTCTCCACAGTACATAGAGAAGGGAGACTCTCTCTTCAAGCGCTAGCTCGATAGCTGCCATCTTGCAAAGATACCAGTCTGGCACAACTCCCTCCCACATTCCTCCCACATTTCCGGTTCACGCGCGTCAAAATATGATATTTTGACGCGCGATGGATTTTTCTTGGACACGCGTTGAGACGCGAATGTACACGCGTCAAATTAGGGGCGTTTGGGGCGTTTTATTCGCGTCCATCGCGTTCGCTGTGAACACACCGTTAGAGCCGGGTCCTTATTAGGAGCCATGGGTTTTTTCCTCTTTCTCTTGCTCTCTCGCTCTCTCACTTTTTTTTTTTGCTTCATGCTGCACGTTAGCCTTGTGTTTGGGCTGAGCAGAGAGACGGGAGACACAAACAGAGCCTTGTGTTTGTGCCCGAGGGGACAGGGGCGGTAGTTACATCGCAACAGCAGTAGCACACGAAAAGACCAGGAGGGAGAGAGAGAGAATGACAGAAACAACAAGAGACAACATCATTACATTAGAAAGTTATGTTAAAGAAAATGAGTGACACCAAGAAAAGAAGAAAAATCTGTAACCATTTCAATTTTATTGAAAATAGAAATGCTCTTCTGAATAGTTGCTGGGATGCTTAGAACTCAAAATTCACTGCTTTAAATAGTTTATTTTGATGCACATGCTGTTTTCTTTTGCAAAGAAAGCAGTCTCCATTGTTGACATACCATCACCTGATGTCCAGTAACATCATATCATCATTCCTTTCTCTGGCTTTTTCATAATGTAAAACAAAGTTTACACTTTAAATTGACTTACATTACATTTTCTTCTCTTCTATCTTGTACTTAATTTGTCACTAATTCCAACACAGATAAACATTCAGCCACATATGAATACACTTTAAGTTAACATTAAGTTTTTGCTATTTTAGTTCACATACATTTGTCATTAGTTCAATCCCACATGAACATCCATTTCAACGTGCTCGTTCTTATTCATTTTCTTAGGAACACTTTTCCTACATTTCTCTTCAAAACTCAGTTTTTGTCAATCACCAAATATTATAATATAACATAATAAATAGAATATTTTTTAAATCAGAACATCTTGTATAAAGTGTGATTTTCTGATTTTGTTTAACTTGTATTTTTCTTCTCTGGCAGAATTTGTGATTTTCATGCACTACTTAATGTGTATCCATACTTAATAAAAAATACTTTATAAAAACGTTCATGTCAGAGCAGAACAACGTATACATGTTAAGACATCCTCAACAACCGCATTACGGATGATAGCTTTTAGTTGGCTTTGATGGTTGCATTGATCCAGTCCACAAACTTAGAAACTTGAGTGTAAACACTGGCCGTCCTGCCCAACGTACATCACTCAGTCCATGTTGCGACACCCTGAAGGACAAATCTGTTCTGCTCATAACAAACCGGAGGACCACCTCTGTCACCCTACAGGTAGGAAACAAAAACTAGATATTAGATAGTGGATACTTTTAGGGCTGGGCCATATTATACCGTTCACGATAATACCGGTATAATGTTAGGCAACGATAGGAAAATGAAATATCGCGATAGAATGGGAGTAAAACGCGCATGCGCAGTGCCTTTGTTTTCATACGCACATGGCCGGTCGTTGAGTGAAACAGATGAACCAGAATTGGTTTGTAAAAATGGTGCAACTTCAGTGATGTGGAACTGGTTTGGTGTTTGTCCGTCAGATACACAACAAAGCACATTTTTTTGCAGAACATGCAAGCGGCCATCGTTATTGTCGTATTTGTCGGACTAAGATGCTCTTAAATCTGGGAGTAATCTGGGTCCTAAGCTCCGTATGCTTCAGGTCAAACAACACTGCAGCATCACTTAGAGTTAAAAACTGTCTCTGCTATCACTTCCAACATAAATGAAGACAGGAAACTAAACAGCAGTGACGTTTGTAGGGTTACTGAAGTTGGGCTAGCTGGCATATAATGATGTGCTACCTGATCGCTAGCGACACAGCTATGTTAGCATAACATAAGCAGTGAAGCTGGAGGACGAACACTAACACTTTTCCACTTATAAAAGTTAATGTGAAGGTTCTTCATGGTTAGAGACAAATGCAATCGCATGGCAGGATGCTGTAAATGGACCAAACTTCAGTCAGGAGAACAACTGAGATAATCCATCCACAATACGAGGTTAGTCATTAATATACTGCAACAACATGGGAATAGAGCAGCTGCAGAGAATTCAACATTAATGAATCAATGTTACAGAAGTGGAGGAAGCAAGAAGAATGAGTTTAATAAAGTTTGATTTATCTGACTGCTTTGTTTCGCTTAATGTGTCTTATAATCCTGTGCACCTTATGGTCCGAAAAATGTGTACTGCACACTGCAGTTTAATGTTGCAAAGCACCTCTTTTTAACTTCAGTGGACATTATACATGGTTATGCTCAGGATATGTCAGCCCATTTCTACTGGAAATGCCTTTTGGTTAAACTTTCAGCAAGGAATTTGCATTTGCACTGTTACATTTTTATAAAGCTTTAATGTACATAAAAACCAGCTTCTTGTTTAAGTGAAAATAAATGGAAGGTTGTCTTTTTGCACTAGTAATGTTGTGGAGTTGTATTTTGTCTCGCATCAATTATATCATCGGTTATATCGTTATCGCAAATTTTCAAATATATATCGTGATAAATATTTTTGGCCATATCGCCCTGCTCTAGATACTTTACTATTTTACTCACACAGCTGTTTTTGACTGATGCTAAAAGCAAGCTAAGAAAGTGTCAGAGTCTGCGTGTGGAGAGAGGAGAGCGGACCCAAATGCAGACAAAATGAAGCGTGGAACATAACTAGATTTTAACGAAAAGGGAGCTGTTCATTGTGGCTGTTAGAAAGGTGCAAAACAAACCTAAAGTGGAAAAACTAAACATAAACATGAAAACCTGGTGTGGAAGGGTGGATACCTGGAAACAGGGCGTGAACACAACAGACAACCTAACAATGGATGCATGACAACAGATCACATAAATACTAGGGGTGCAACAATACACAAAATTCCCGGTTCGGTTCGATACTTTGGTGTCACGGTTCGATATTTTTTCAATACAAAATAAAATGTTCATGCCTTTTTAATTTTTCATTTATTAAAATTATAAATATATATATTTTAACTCAAAAGTACAGTTTTTAAATTTAACCCTAACCCTTGTGCGTGTTTTTTATTTTGACAGCGAATGCGCACCTGCGGACCACTTATGTGCAGCCCTGGTTATTTAGCTCGTCATATTGCAGCCACAGAAATTCTTTTGTCCATGAAACCATAAAGCTGCACTTTCTTTTTGCCTTATAGTCTGATTTGTCATAACTTTTCCGTTTTGCGGTAAGCTTTTCTTTGGCTGTCACTTCTTCACCCTGACCTGTCTTATTTGGCTCAGCAGAACTGAAATATATATCCTGCTGCTTTTACAGACGCACTCACATAAGCTCAGCGATTCTCTGCGCGATCAACCTCTCACATGTTTAAGCTTGCTGCGGGAGATTTCACTTGTCATGTTTGCATAGTAAGCTAACGATTGATAAGACGATGTCAGAGGAATTGGTGCACAAATTATCATCACTCACCAATCAGTACTGTCGCTCTCTATACACAGTTCACGCGATTGCAAAGTGAAAGCAAAAAAACAAGCGCAAATTCAAACGCGATTTCAATATGTCACATATTGACAGTGGCTCACCGATGCCAATGACATAATTACCCAGCTACATTTCCGAAAGAATGCAAAAGCATTGACATATATTTTTCCTTCCTATAATAGCCGGACGGGCAGGGCAGAGATAGATTTTGGTAGCCCGACTGGAAAAATCGCTAGCCCCGGGACGTCGGGCTAGCGATTTTGCGAGCCCTGTATCTGATTGAGAAATCACTCATCTTTGGAAAAGAGAGTTTATTACAGAGAAATGGCTCTTTCCAAAATAAAAGCTATACTATCCGCTTCTTCTGGGCTATATTCTCAGCAGCATATTAAACATATCAGGTCCCCATAAGGAGACTCATGTGCTAACGGCTGTCTAAATGACTCGGGTAAAGTTTGTAGCATGCATGCTTGTTGTTTTTGTCTTTGCACTAGGATGATGTCGGCGTAAATGTGCAGTCATATTCGTTGTGTTCCCACTAGTGCTTTCAGGTTAACCTCGTTAAAATGACCTTAACGCCACAACACGGCAAATCTCCGTTAACGAGCTACCCCTGATAGCCCCGTGCATGGGGCTAGACGGCCAACACGTTAACGAGCTAACTGCGCTAACACACTAGCTCCCACCCATGTAATTGAGCATTGCGTGGCACATCCAACATACTGTTTTACTTTAGTCCATGACGCGCTTACCTTCAGGGTCATACGTCACATGAAAACCAAAATAATTCCAAACGCCAGATCTGAATGAGGGTGGGGGAGGTTCAATTTGCCATGTTGCAAGGAGAGCTTAACTTCTGTCTCGCTAGCTTGCCCTGCGCTCTTCCTCCTGACTATGCTGTCTGTGTTGAGCGCTCAGTGGATCTGCGCTCGACAGTGCAGCCTAGGCGGAGTAGTCGAACACAGATTCACTGAGCGCTCCACACAGACAGCATCGTCAGAAGGAAAGTTGATAAAATAAATTACAAATGTTGTATTGTTCGATACATATGCGTACCGAACCAAAAGCGCTGTATCGAACGGTTCAATATCGATACGAATATCGTTGTACCCCTAATAAATACACACAAGGGTGACAAGGCAAATGGAAACACACGGGGAACACAGCTGAAACAGATGAACATGACGCCACAGGGGAAGAAAAATTAAACAAATTAGACTGTCAAAATAGAAAATACAGAGGTGCAGACTTAAGACACACGACCTTGACATGACATCAGGGAACAGGAGATGGGACACGGGTATAAGAAACAAATACAGAACATGACAGCGAGGGGGAGACAAGGAATGAGATACAAGGGGAAACGTAAACGAGGAGGAGACAAGACTGGGCACACGGGAAAGAGAGGGAACGAGAGCAACGCAAAGGGAGACAAAGGCATCACAGAGACGCACAAAGGGCGACGGGGACTTAAACACAGGGGACATGACAGACTCCCACACTAAAGACATGAAATTACAATCATCATAATGAGGAATAGTGGTGGGTCGGTCGCGAACGAAATGGCTCTTAGAGCCGGTTCTTTGACGTGAACGATGCGAGCTATATTTCTTTTGAGATTATTTACAAGGATAGAAACGGTTAAACTTTGGAGAAGAAAGAGAGGGATTGTTTGGCCATTGGTTCAGAAAAACACAAGAGTAGTAAAGAGAAAAGAAATGTATGTATATGGGTTGTTGACAACGGCCATAATTAAATGAATTATGAATCCTACCAGAGCAACTAGGTACGTTGCAGTGCTCCCAGCGGGCATTAGGATCCATAGTGTAACACCACGGTCCATTGCTGTCCCCATCAGGGTTTCTGCAGAAGTTGGAGTAAAGCTCTGCTTGTGGGTGGCTCTGCGGCGTGAAACTGCAGCAGAAACATTAAGAACGAATCTCACAAAGGCATAAAAGGATATGAAATGATGATGTAAAATCAAATGCAAACACATACTTTGGCCTGTGTGGGTAGCTTGAGTCCCATCTTTGACAGATCTTTCCTGAGTTTGTTCTGGACTTTGTTCCTCTATAATCTCTTCCTATTCCATTTACACACTCAAGAAGATAGTCTAGAAAAGAAAAGAAAAGAAAAGAAAAGAAAAGAAAAGAAATAGATTGACTGATGTTTATCACAAATTTCTTATCTGATCTGAGTTCTGTGATGTTTTATGAAACTAAATTAAATTACAGCAGTGTTTAACTTTCAGGTGAAGCTGTTTTCAGTGGTGGAGATTCTTCCTCTGTTATTCTCACCACTGCAGACCATACAGTGGTCTCTGGCCTGCTGTAGAGGAGGGGTAGCACAGTGAGCTCGCAGGAGCGGCACGGGGGTGTGTTTGAAACAGGTATGCTGGGTCAGGTTAAATGACACTGCTATCTTTTGGGGGTTTTCCAGTGACAGTGGAGCAGAAGGACGTGTGTGTGGCAGCAGCCTTGGAGAGACTGTTCCAGCGTGCAGAGCACCGAAACAACAGCATCTGCTGCCCACAGATAATAAAAGATAACAGAGTAAACTGCCAACTGTGTGTGTGCGTGGGGTCCTTACCACAGTGGTGCTGAAATCTTGGTGCTATGTCGGACCCCCAGTCACTCTGCCCGCTCCAGATTGTGGGCCAGGTGATGTCTGCACAGCAGGCGGCTGCGCAGGAGGAGCAGCTGGGGGTATTGCGGGACCACTTGGAGTGGGACACCGCTGTACTGGAGCGGCTGATGGGGGCTGCAGCTGTGCCAGCGTGTCATCCCCCCCGCCCCCACGCTGTCAGTGGCACTTCACCGGATGGTACCGTTGGTTAGGGCTGCACGATTAATCATTAGAAAATCGCGTTCTCGATTCATACTTATGTGCGATCTCATTTCCAAATGACAACGATTTAAAAGATTTTTTTAAAAAGACGACGACGACGATTGTACCGCATTTTGGTCCAGGACGTAATCTGCATGAAAACAAGCGCTCTCTCTTCCTGCTCAACAAATGACAAGGGCGGAGCCTTATACCACGTGATACAGAAGCTGTGCCGTGTGATGCTAAAATTAGCAGGGAAAAAAACAACGGAGAGCACGTCAGGGATGATGAGAAAGTGACAGTAGAAAATCCGTCCCGGTCAACCACCCAAACATCAATAACGGGAACCTTATACAGCGCTTCCCTATACACGTCGAACTCCCGCAGGCACAAAGAAATTACGGAGGCTATCACTTATAACCTGACTAAAGATATGGCTCCCATCAACACTGTGCAAAATGAGGGATTTAGGAAAATGATCAACACCCTAGACAAATGCTACACAGTGCCGTCCCGCAACTATTTTTTCTATTGTTGCACTACCTGCTCTATACACGCAGTGTCGAGCAACGGTGGAGACGGAATTTCAAGCAGTACAACATTTTGCAGCAACAACAAAACGTGAGACATTTGTTGTTTTTATGTTTATTTATTGTTTTTATGTTCAGTCTCAACTGTTACGAAGTTGATGTGCAGTTAATAAGTGCAATAAATATTTATACTGGAAAAGAAAATCGTGAGAGAATCGTGATCTCAATTCTACCGTTGGTATTTATAGAGACTTTTCACGCCACAATGCTGGGGTGCTGCTGTCCGGAGGAAGAGTGGGCACCACGGCTGTTGCCTCTGTTGTCGGGTGAAGCCCAGACAGCTGCCCTGAGCCTGCCTCCGGCGTCCCATGGAGTGTATTAAGATGTCTGTCAGGCGGAATTGGATCACCTTGGTCTTTCCCCGGAGGATTACCGGCAGCAGTTCCACGCTGGTCAGATGCCGGGAGGGGAGCGGCTGATAGCATGGGCAAGGCAGCTCGAAGACGAGGCGAGGTGGCTGTGTCCAGGGCGCATGTAGGAAGACGCCCGTATGCTGGACTTGGTGGTCATGGAGCAATTTGTGAAGGGGTTGCCCGACGCCACCACACATTGGGATCGCTACCACAGCCCCATCGATCAGAACGTGGCAGTCAAACTGGTGGAGGACCATCTGGCCACTGGCCAGGAGTACACGCATCTGAGCAGCCAGCCTACAGGATGCCGGCGACATTGAAGAAGGGACCTCAGCATGGACAGGACGGAGTGAGCACCGGTGTGGAGCCCCAAGAACCTGTTTGCACCCCTGCTTCCTGCCAGAGACCCAGAAATGTTCGTCGCCGCCTCTGAGCCATGGGCGGCTGAACAGACCCTGGGGCCAGAGTGCTGAAAGTGCGGGTGGCTGGGGCACCTACGGCGGGAGTGTCCGTTGATGGAGGTGGGCCAGGTGTTCCGCTTCGCTGGGGCTCCGGCCTTGGGGCTGCACCCAGACCCTCGTCCACTGAAGCTTGGTTTGCCCCGGCTCATTGTTGGAGGCGGAGTGGGTGGAGGTAAAATGTGTGCATGGGGATGTTCACAGGTATTCCATAGTACCGCTGCTGCTAAAATTCCGGGGCAAAATGCATAGGGGAAAGGCTGCGGTTAGCCCGCGCCTGTCGCGTCCCCTGATTTTGGGTACAAATTGGCTGGGGTTTCATAGCTTGTTGGAGCAGTACATGGGGATGCGATTATGACTGGTAGATGCGTGTAATGTCTGCATGGTGCTCAGTGGTGACGCGGGGTCGTCCGATGCTGACTTTTGTGGGGAAGAAGAAGTGGGTCCTTCTACGGAGGTCCTTCTGTCTTCTGTGTCACGCCCTATGGAAGATTTTCCACTGGAGCAGTCTTGTGATGACACCCTACACTCAGCCTATGACCAAGTGATAGATATTGATGGTCACCTGGTGTGCCCTGAAGCTATGCAGACTTACCCGCACTTCCAATTGCAGAACAGTAGGCTGTATTGAGTGAGTTGCGACACTCACACTAACGAAATACACACCCAGTTGTTGGTGCCACGGAGCCGGCTGAAAATGATTTCCCGGGCGGCTTATTGCAACCCCATGGCAGGGCACATGGGATGCAAGAAAACTCAGGAACAAGTAATGGCCCGATTTTATTGGCTGGGCAGACGTGCGCCGATGGTGCGTGTCATGCCCGGATTGCCAGATGGTGAGCCAGCCAGCCGTTCCAAAAGCGCTTTTGCATCCATTACCCTTAATGGAGGTCCCATTCGAACGCATTGGTGTGGACCTCATTGGGCCATTCCACCAGAGTGCACGCGGCTATCACTTTGTATTATCTCTGGTGGACTATGAAACGTGATACCCGGAAGCAGTGCCGCTGCGCACCATTTCTGTAAAGAGCCTGGCTCAGGCACTGTTTCAGGTCATCTCCCGAGTTGGTATTCCGAAAGAAATACTGACTGACCAGGGCACGTCGTTCTTGTCTCGCATACTCAAAGAGCTGTATGAATTACAGGGCATTAAATCCGTTTGGACCAGCATCTACCACCCTCAGACTGACGTGGAGCGGCTGAATAAGACTTTGAAGTCCATGATTCGTAAGTTCATTCATGAGGTTGAACACAATTGGGATCGCTAGTTAGACCCTCTGTTGTTTGCAGTGCGGGGAGTTCCCCAGGCCTCCACGGGATTTTTTACCTTTGAATTACTGTACGGCAGGAAGCCGCAGGCAGGAGAAAAGTCCGAGCCCCGCAAAAAATGAAATTCAGTACGTGCTGGACTGCTAAAACCGCTTCTCCGGTGAGCCTGGTTAAGGAAAGAGATGAGTTGAGGCCGGAGGTACCAAATTCCACTACTCCTGCCTCCCTTCATTGTGATAACTATCTCACACAGGCCCAGAGAGCAGTTGATGCTGCATTGCAACAGCCTGGTGCAGCCTGGCATATGGTGTGTTCATGGCCCTACAGGCTACCCGAACATAAAAATTGTTCAGAGGTAATTGGCTTAGATGCTAAAGCTGGGAGTAATAGAAGAATTATGATATAGCCCCATCGTTCTTGTGGTGACAAAAGATGGGTCTATATGGTTCTGTGTTGACTATCGCAAGGTGAATGAGGTGTCACAGTTTGATGCTTACCCCATGCCCCGGGTCGACGAGCTCCTGGACCGGTTAGGCAATGCCTGTTTCACGACGCTGGATTTGACTGAGGGCTACTGGCAAATTCCCTTTTCTGGAGAGTCCAGGGAAAAGACGGCTTTCTCTACTCCATACGGGTTGTACCAGTACCTTCCAGCTCCTCATGGACTGGGTGCTGAGACCACACACTGCAAATGCTGCCGCCCACTTGGATGATGTTATCATCTTCAGGGACACCTGGACGAAGCATGTGCAGCGGGTGGCCGCGGTCCTGGAGTTCCTGAGACATGCGGGGCTCACAGCCAACCCGAAGAAGAGTGCGGTTGGACAGAAGGAGGTAAAAGTATGTGGGGTACCACTTGGGGGGCGGGCAGGTTCGTCCTCAGGTGGAGAAGACAGCAGCGATTGCATCCTGCCTGCGCCCCTAGACCAAAATGGAGGTGAGACGGTTCCTGGGGCTGGCCGGCTATTATGGCCAATTTGTGCCAGGGTTTGCGGACCTGACCAGCCCCTTGATCGAAAGAGTGCCTCAGATCTGGTCCAGTGGACAGGGCAGTGCCAGGCAGCGTTTGTGTGGGTGAAACAGGCTCTCTGTGGGGAGCTGCTGCTATACACACTTAATTTCTCTCTCCCTTTTCTCCTGCAGACAGATGCCTCAAACAGAGGGCTGGGGGCCGTTTTGTCCCAGCAGGTCGGGGGAGTCGACCGACCGGTTGGTACATCAGCTGGAAGCTAATGGACCGAGAAACCTGGTACAGCACTGTGGGAAGGGAGTGCCTAGCGATCGGGTGGGCGGTTGACTCCCTTCATTACCAGCTCCCGGGATGCCCATTCACCCTCTGCTCAGACCATGCCCTGCTGCAGTGGCTCCACTGCATGAAGGATGCCAACGCCCAGTGGTATCTGGCCTTGCAGCCTTTTAAGTTCAGTTTTTCAGAACATTGTGTAGTGCCTATATTTCACATATTAGCTACATTAAATACCAAACCAAATGGCAATTGTTGAAAGAGAAATGGCTGCTAGAGGACAATTAGACATGTATGTCAGCTGAACAAAACAAAACAAACACAATAACATGTATGAATCTTACCAAAGCAGCTGGGTACGTTGCAGTGCTCCCAGCGGGTGTTAGCATCAGTAGTGTAACACCACGGTCCATTTCTGTCCCCATCAGGGTTTCTGCAGAAGTTGGACTCTAGATCTGCTTGTGGGTGGCTCTGCGGCATGAAACTGCAGCAGAAACATTATGAAACGTTTTAACAAAGGCATAAAAGGATATGAAGTGATGATGTAAAATCAAATGCAAACACATACTTTGGCCTGTGTGGGTAGCTTGAGTCCCATCTTTGACAGATCTTTCCTGAGTTTGTTCTGGACTTTGTTCCTCTGTAATCTCTTCCTATTCCATTTACACACTCCAGAAGATATGCTAGAAAAGAAAAGAAAAGAAAATCACTAGAAATAGATTTATTGATGTTTATCACAAATTTCATAATATAAATTATTTATCCGGTGCGAGTTCTGTGATGTTTTATGAAACTAAATTAAATTACAGCAGTGTTTAACTTTCAGGTGAAGCTGTTTTCAGTGGTGGAGATTTTTCCTCTGTAATTCTCATTATTTCAGACCAGCCATTCCTCTGTGAAGGAAAACACTGATTTATCTCAAATATCATGGCCATGCATTATAACTTACCAAAGCAGCTGGGTACGTTGCAGTACTCCCAGCGGGTGTTAGGATCAGTAGTGTAACACCACGGTCCATTGCTGTCCCCATCAGGGTTTCTGCAGAAGTTGGAGTAAAGCTCTGCTTGTGGGTGGCTCTGCGGCTTGAAACTGCAGCAGAAACATTTCGAAAAACTTTCACTAAGACATAAAAGGATATGAAATGATGATGCAAAATCAAATGCAAACACATACTTTGGCCTGTGTGGGTAGCTTGAGTCCCATCTTTGACAGATCTTTCCTGAGTTTGTTCTGGACTTTGTTCCCCTGTAATCTCTTCCTATTCCATTTAAACACTCCAGAAGATATGCTAAAAGAAAAGGAAAGAAAAGACTAGAAATAGATTTATTGATGTTTATCACACATTTCCTATAGTAAATAATTTATCTGATCCGAGTTCTGTGATGTTTTACAAAACTAAATTAAGCTGTTTATAGACACAGTACCTCACTCATCATGACACATATGCTAAACATTAACTACAATGTCAACAAAAAACATTGGAAACAAAAAACATGTAAACTAGAAAAGACTGGCCACTGTAGCCGACAGAAAGGACAGCATGAAAACATAGGCTTTAGTGTTTGTATTATTCATAGAGAAAAATGAGGATCGTTACCATTTCTTTCATATAAAGCTATGGTGCTTCTGCGAAAGACACTGTCTGTTTTGGAGTTTACCGCTGCTGTCCAACACTCTTGGTCCTTTTCATTATAGATAAAAGACCTGTGTGTAAAAAAAAAAGAAAAGAAAAATTAAAAAATTGTTGATTCCTTTCTTGAAAGGTGCTATACAAATCTAAGTTATCTACACATTAGGTTTTGAGGTGGCCAATGGAACAACGCATACATGGACAAGGGTTGATAATTTGGTATTAATAGAAAGCTACTATGCCAGCTAACCCACTAAAAGAGATAAAATCAAATCACTTTTATTGTTATAACACATGTGTGCAAGTTTAACAAACAACAGTAGTGTGCAAAATACAAGAGACAGGATGCAAGCCAAATATAACAGGAATGTGAAAATTATGAGAATAAATATATGTATAAATATAAGAATGTATGCACATTAATTAATATTTATACCACACACACATATATATATATATATATATATATATATATATATATATATATATATATATATATATATATAGGGTGCAAGATGCTAGCAGGCAAGGCATACATGGAACGCCATAACCAAGTGGCCGGCATAGTGTACAGGAACATCTGTGCCGAGTATAACCTAGAAGTCCCGAGGTCAAAATGGGAGATGCCCCCAAGGGTGGTGGAGAATGACCGAGCTAAGATCCTGTGGGACTTCCAGATACAGACGGACAAAATGGTGGTGGCTAACCAACCGGACATAGTGGTGGTAGAACAGAAGAACGGCCGTAGTGATCGATGTAGCGGTTCCGAATGACAGCAATATCAGGAAGAAGGAACACGAGAAGCTGGAGAAATACCAAGGGCTCAGAGAAGAGCTCGAGAGGATGTGGAGGGTGAAGGTAACGGTGGTCCCCGTGGTAATCGGAGCACTAGGTGCGGTGACTCCCAAGCTAGGCGAGTGGCTCCAGCAGATCCCGGGAATAACATCGGAGATCTCTGTCCAGAAGAGCGCAGTCCTGGGAACAGCTAAGATACTGCGCAGGACCCTCAAGCTCCCAGGCCTCTGGTAGAGGACCCGAGCTTGAAGGATAAACCGCCCGCAGGGGCGTGCTGGGTGTGTGTATATATATATATATATATATATATATATATATTTATTTATATATATATATATATATGTGTGTGTGTGTGTGTGTGTGTGTGTGTATGTATTAGGGGTGCAACAATACTAGTATCGATATTGAACCGTTCGATACGGTGCTTACAGTACAGTACAGTGCTCGGTACGCATATGTATCGAAAAATACAACATTTTTTATTTATTTTATCAACTTTTTTTCTGACGATGCTGTCTGTGTTGAGCGCTCAGTGGATCTGCGTTCGACTACTCCGCCTAGGCTGCACTGTCGAGTGCAGATCCACTGAGCGCAGCGCAAGCTAGCAAGACAGAAGCAAAGCTCGTTGCAACATGGCAACTCCCTCAACGCTACCTGAAATTGAACCTCCCCCACCCTCATTCAGATCTGGCGTTTGGAACTATCTTGGTTTTCATGTGAAGCATGACCCTGATGGACAAAAGTAAAACAGTATGTTGGATGTGCCACGCAATGCTCAATTACATTGGTGGGAACTAGTGCGTTAGCGCAGTTAGCTTGTTAACGTGTTGACGCCGTCCAGCCCCAAGCACGGGGCGATCCGCGGTAACTCGTTAACAGAGATTTGCCGCGTTATGGCGTTAATGTAATTTTAACGAGATTAACACTGACAGCACTAGTGGGATCACAACGAATGGACAACGAACACAACGACTGCACATTTATGCTGACATCATCCTAGTGCAAAGACAAGTAGAAGCAGACAAAAACAACAAGCACGCATGCTACAAACTTTATCATTTAGACAGCCGTTAGCACATGATTCTCCTTATGGGGACCTGATATGTTTAATATGCTGCTGAGAATATAGCCCAGAAGAAGCGTATAGTATAGCTTTTATTTTGGAAAGAGCCATTTCTCTGTAATAAACTCTTTTTTCCAAAGATGAGTGATTCCTCGATCAGATAGATTTATTTTTTTTATTTTGTTGTTTCGGCAACATTAAATTTGAAAACTGTACTTTTGAGTTAAAATATATATTTATAATTGTAATAAATGATAAATTAAAAAGGCATGAACATTTTTTTGTATCGAAAAAATATCGAACCGTGTCACCAAAGTATCGAACCGAACCGTGAATTTTGTGTATCGTTGTACCCCTAATATATATATATATATAAAAACACCCAGCACGCCCCTGTGGGCAGTTTATCCTTCAAGCTCGGGTCCTCTACCAGAGGCCTGGGAGCTTGAGGGTCCTGCGCAGTATCTTAGCTGTTCCCAGGACTGCGCTCTTCTGGACAGAGATCTCCGATGTTATTCCCGGGGTCTGCTGGAGCCACTCGCCTAGCTTGGGATCACCGCACCTAGTGCTCCGATTACCACGGGCACCACCATTACCTTCACCCTCCACATCCTCTCGAGCTCTTCTCTGAGCCCTTGGTATTTCTCCAGCTTCTCGTGTTCCTTCTTCCTGATATTGCTGTCATTCGGAACCGCTACATCGATCACTACGGCCGTCTTCTTCTGTTTGTCTACCACCACTATGTCCGGTTGGTTAGCCACCACCATTTTGTCCGTCTGTATCTGGAAGTCCCACAGGATCTTAGCTCGGTCATTCTCCACCACCCTTGGGGGCATCTCCCATTTTGACCTCGGGACTTCCAGGTTATACTTGGCACAGATGTTCCTGTACACTATGCCGGCCACTTGGTTATGGCGTTCCATGTATGCCTTGCCTGCTAGCATCTTTCACCCTGCTGTTATGTGCTGGATTGTCTCTGGGGCATCTTTACACAGCCTGCACCTGGGGTCTTGCCTGGTGTGATAGAGCCCAGCCTCTATGGATCTTGTCCTCAGAGCTTGTTCTTGTGCTGCCATGATTAGTGCCTCTGTGCTGTCTTTCAGTCCAGCTTTGTCCAGCCACTGGTAGGATTTCTGGATATCAGCCACCTCCTCTATCTGCCGGTGGTACATACCGTGCAGGGGCCTGTCCTTCCATGATGGTTCCTCGTCTCCCTCCTCTTTCTTGGGTTTCTGCTGCCTGAGGTATTCACTGAGCACTCAGTCAGTTGGGGCCATCTTCCCAATGTATTCTTGGATGTTCGTTGTCTCATCCTGGACTGTGATGCTGACACTCACCAGTCCCCGGCCCCCTTCCTTCCGCTTAGCATACAGCCTCAGGGTGCTGGACTTGGGGTGAAACTCTCCATGCATGGTAAGGAGCTTTCTTGTCTTTATGTCAGTGGCTTCTATCTCCTCCTTTGGCCAGCCTATTACCCCAGCAGGGTACCTGATCACGGGCAGGGCGTACGTGTTGATGGCCCAGATCTTGTTCTTACCATTCAGCTGACTCCTCAGGACTTGCCTGACCCTCTGCAGGTACTTGGTGGTTGCAGCTTTTCTAGCAGCCTCTTCATGGTTCCCATTCGCCTGCGGGATCCCCAAGTACTTGTAACTGTCCTCTATGTCTGCAATGTTGCCTTCTGGTAGTTCAATCCCCTCAGTTCTGACTACCTTCCCTCTCTTTGTTACCATCCGACTACACTTCTCCAGTCCGAACGACATTCCAATGTCATTGCTGTATAGCCTGGTAGTGTGGATCAGTGAATCGATGTCTCGTTCACTCTTGGCATACAGCTTGATGTCATCCATGTACAGGAGGTGGCTGAAAACTGCTCCGTTCCGTAGTCGGTATCCGTAGCCAGTCTTGTTAATGATCTCACTGAGGGGGTTCAGGCCTATGCAGAACAGCAGTGGGGACAGAGCATCTCCTTGGTAGATCCCGCACTTGATGGTGACTTGTGCTATGGGCTTGGAGTTGGCCTCTAATGTTGTACGCCACATCCCCATTGAGTTCCTGATGAAGGCTCTTAGGGTCCCATTGATCTTGTACAATTCTAGGCATTCCAGTATCCAGCTGTGGGGCATTGAGTCATAGGCCTTCTTGTAATCAATCCAGGCAGTGCACAGGTTGGTCAGTCTGGTCTTGCAGTCTCGGCTGACTGTTCTGTCTACCAGTAGTTGGTGTTTTGCACCTCTGGTATTCTTGCCAATTCCTTTCTGTGTCCCGCTCATGTATTGACCCATGTGCCTGTTCATCTTAGCCGATATGATGCCTGACAGGAGCTTCCATGTAGGGCTGGGACAACGCGTCGACGTAATCGATTACATCGACGCAAAAAATACGTCGACGTAAAAAAATCTGCGTCGATGCGTCGTGACTTTCAAAAAAAGACATGGCGGCAGCGAGTAGCGGAATCATGAGTGAGGCAGTTGCAGTCAACTTAAATCACTCCACCTGAACACGCAGTTCTACAGTATGGGGATATTTTAACAGAAAAGGAAGTGATTCAGTCGTTTGCCGGCTTTGTGAGGTGGAAATGGCCTATCATAAAAGCACGACGGCTATGCACCAGCACCTCAAACGACTGCATCCAGGAGCAGCTTCTGCAAAGGACAAACCACCGTAAGTTTTCAACTTTTTTACTAACGCTATTTTTCACCCGTTAATTCATCCAGACACCCCCCCACGTAGACGTACACTCACTTATAGACACAGAGATAAACACCCAACCTCCGTAAATGCAAAACTCATTTAAGCTGCTTAGCAGTAACATATAGCAGCTGCTGTTTAGTTGTTCTCTTTCATAGCATTCGTTTCGTGTCTCACTATGGGAACGCCTCCTGCGTGACCTCATCAGAAGCTCAAATACCATTACGCCAGCCCTTACAGGCTGGCTAGGTGACGCCCATGTCAGGAGGGGCCAGTGCCTCCCTATATAATAGGCTGACATAGCGTCAGATGTCATTCAAAAACCTCTTCTCGCTTCTCACAGAAGTCTGTAGACAACTGTGCTATTGGGTGCTAAAGCTAAACTGTCCACAGATTCGAGTGAACAACTCGGTCGCCGGGCGCTTTGTTCCCAGCTGTTCAGTTGTCCACTAGCATACAAGCAGTAGCAATACTGTTCTGTAGCTAGTGCTGGTGCTAAGTAGCAATACTTTCACCCAGGGAAGTAGCAATAC